CCAGGCCAAGGATTGGGTAAAGAAAAACCGCCCTTCTTATATCGACAAAGCCTGCGAAGGAATCTGGAAAGGCGGTCCCACACCCTGCGATTGTGTGCTGGGAATGATCAAAGGGTTTAGAGAGTTCCGGGGGGATAGTGTTCGATCTAATAAATAATCCTTTTTTGCGAATTCATTTGCACAATCCGATTTCGTTGACCACTTCAGTCCGATTTTGACGAACCACCTTTGTCCGATCCAAATTGACCATAGTTATCCGGCTTAAACTGATCACTGATCTTCTCCTTTCAGGCTATCCCATTTACACGTCACCACTTCACGTTTATATCAAGCCATACAGTACGATCAACGGCATCATCATACAATGTTGTAGTCATTTGCATTTAAAAGGCAATTGACAATGAAAAAGATAGAACAGAAGAAAGATGATCGGTGAGAGATCGCAGCAGTTAATTGCAGCTTGAGTATCTTTATAAGAGAAGGATGCTTATACCTGGTCGCATCTATTGATCTTCAACATTTAGAAAATGATCATTCACACATTAAAAGTTCGCCAGCAAAAACAGTGGTCAGTTTGCTTCGGAATCGGGTGGTCAGTTTAATCGGAAATTGCAATTAGTGACTCGTCCTGAAAAAACCTTACACGGTTAATAGATAATCCTGGTATTTACTTTACACTCAAATTTATACTTCAATTTGTTTGGTTGATGGGTTCTTTGGATAATTTTTCCATTTCTTTTGCATTTGACCGGTATTTTCATAAACGGCATCTGGTGTCATATAATTCAAGCTGGCATGTGGCCGTTGCTGATTATAAGTAGATATAATCCTGTCAATGGCTTTCTTGGCTTCGTTATGGTTCTGGTAACGTCGTCTTGGGATAAATTCTGATTTAATAATCCCGTTCATTCGTTCTGCTAATGCATTTTCATAAGGGCTTCCATTTTGCGTCATGCTGATTGCGACATTGTTAGTCATAAGGATCTCAACATAGTTACCGGAACAATACTGAACTCCTCGATCAGAATGATGCACAAGCGTTCTTTCAAGAAACAATCGATTTGACAAAGCCATATTCAATGCTTCGATACATCCTACGCTTGCCAGACTTGGATACAAACAGTGACCGACAATTTTACGCGAGTAAGCATCGGTGATTAATGATAGATAGCTGTAACCTTCAATCGTTTTAATATAAGTTATGTCAGATACCCATACCTGTTCCGATGCACACACTGATACATCTTCAACAAGGTTCGGGTATTTTTTCAACCAATGGAAAGAATCGGTTGTAACAATGCTCCGTTTCCTGCGCCGGACAAGCATTCCATGGAATCGCAATAAATCAAAAAGCTGATCGCGTCCCATCTTTATGCCGTGAGCTTTCAGCATCGGTTCAATCTTAAAAAGGATTTTACGTGTACCAAGCATCGGCATAGCGTCCCTTAAATCTTTTACCAATCGCAGCACGATCATGTGCTCAATGCTCGTTTTCTTTTCATAATTATATGCTTCGTAATAAGCCTGCCTTGTTACACCAAACAGTCCGCAAAGCTTCTCCAGGCTAATAGATGGATAAGCTTGCTTTATTTTTTTGACGGTTTGGTACCAGGCTTTTTTTTGATCTTGATTTGAAGGTCTTCTTCAGTTACTTTGATCATCGTCTCCAACCCAAGAATCCTGAGATTAGCATACTCAAGAGCCTTCTCAAGTTGCTTGATCTGGTTTTTGTACTCCTGAGCTTTCTTGTCTTCTTCCTTACTGGATACCACAGTGGTGTTGATTTTGTCTGCCAAACTTCCGACTCTTAAACGAGTCATCCAAAGTTTTAAAGTGTTCCGGTTTAAACCATGTTTTTTACACGCAGCCCAAATGGATATCGATCCTGAGCGGATTTCTCCGATAATAAGATCCATTTCTTCTTTGTTGCG